AGAGAGAGAGAGAGAGAGAGTAATGTTCAAGAGAGAGTTTTTTTGATTTTTTTTAGAATAGGTTGAGAGAGAGAGAGAGAAATGCTCAAGAGAGAGAGAGCGAGGCCCTTGTCCAGCTTTTGCCCTCTCAAAGCAAAACCCCACCTTTCCCAACAACTTCTCCAAACATTGCCAAATTCATCAAAAACTGAGAACCCCAAATACCAAAAGACAAGAAAAAGACATACTTACCTTATTGCCTTCAAACCCAAAAATCAAATAATACAAAAAATAAAAATACTTTCAAGCCCAACAAATTTTCCCTGTTAGTGGGTATTTGGAGAGAGCGAGAAATAAAAATACTTTCAAGCCCAGCAAATTTTCCCTATTAGTAGGTGTTTGGAGAGAGAGAGAGAGCTAGGAGTTAATTTTTTTTTGTGAGACTAAACTTTGATTTGAGTCTCCTTGTTGTGAAAGGAGACAGAGTGCTAGGAGCTCAATTTTTTTTATTTATTTTTAATGATTAATTTAGCGGGGAAGATAGGCCTGTACCCATTTTTTTCAAATAGTTTACGAGTTAATTTAATTTTCTGATTGAAATACTGTTAGTGAGAATAAAAACGGTGGTGAGTGGTGACTATGGTATGGGATGCCCACCCAGCCCTTATCCCACCATTAGGAGCTACATGTGATGTGTGAGAGAGAGTTCAAAACCAGAGTGGAGAGAGATTAAACATTCAAAAGATGAGAGAGAGAGAGAGAGATTAACCACCTCGGCTTCAAGTTCTCTCTTCTCATTGGCCGCAGCCTCATATTGAGACTTTAACAACTTTAAGTCTTCCTCTAATTGTTTGTTTTTCCACCGAGCCCTCCTGTTTTGGAACCAAACAGCTACCTGACGCGGGTCCAAGCCCAGTTCCGAAGCGAGTTTAGCTTTCCTCTCCGACTCGAGTTTTTGCTGGCTTCCAAAGTTCATTTCGAGGAAGCTGACTTGCTCAGCACTCAGTCGTCGCTTCTTTAGCTCTGACTCGGTTCCCTTCCCCTTCTTTCTCCTACGCCTTTGTCTCACGTCCTCTGATCATGAATTAGGGACCAATGAGAGAGAGAAAGAATTAGGAAGCAAAGTTTTTGCGGGTGCTATGAAGAGAGAGAGGGAGTAAACTGAGTGTGGGTGGTGGCATGGGGTGTGTGTGTGCAAATGTGTGTTAGAGAGAGAGAGAGACTTTCCTGTTTTATGGGTGGGTGTTTAAGAGAAAGTGGGAGAGACTAAAGTAAGAGCAGTGTGTGTGTGAGAGAAAGAGAGAGAGATTTTCCTGTTTCATGGGTGGGTGTTTAAGAGAAAGAGGGAGAGACTAAAGTAGGAGCTGTGTGTGCGAGAGAGTGAGAGAGAGAGAGAGAGAGAGAGAGAGATTTTCCTGTTTCATGGGTTGATGTTTAAGAGAAAGAAGGAGAGACTAAAGTAAGAGCTGTGTGTGTGAGAGAGAGAGAGCTAAATTTGTTTAGTTTAGGTGTTGGGAAGGAAAGAGAGAAAAGAAGGTAAGGCTTACTCTTGGGTGATGGATACGAGCCTGAATAGAAGAGCATTGACATTTGTTCTTCCATTTCTTTCCTTCTCTCTCTTAGCAGGGTGATAGTCAAGGAAATCAAAGACTCTTTCTCAAACCAATCTCTCTAAATTTCTCTCTCTTTCTAGGAGATGTATTTCTTTCTCTAGCTCTCTCTTTCTTTCAAGGATGATGTGAATATCTCTCTCTCTCTCTCTCAGTTAATGGTGTGGGCAGACACATAGGAAACCTCACTCCTTGTCAGATAACATGGCGATTTCAACTCTATTCCTCTCTTCTCTCTCTCTCTATAAAGAGGGAGTCAAGTTAGGCGACCATTTCTCACTCTTCTTTCTCTCTCTAACTCTCTAAGCCTTCAGAGTTGGGGTCGAACTTTCGTTGGATGTATGCTCTACAGTCACCTCGGCCTTCATATTTATACTCAAGGCTTTGCCAAAATATCCCCTCTTCATTCGGCACTGTCACTCAAAAGTTATCTCTACCGACCCCATAAATTACAATTATGTCCCCACTTCGGTCAATATAATCTTCCTTTTAGTGTAGTTTAAAAAGTTCAAGAAAAAAAAAAAAACAATTATAACCCATTTTTAGTGCACTTTGATTAGTTATAAGGGATTTTTATGAGTTGGTTACTAATCTATTAGTGAATCGATAATAATGTCACATCTTATTTATAATATGATAAACAAAATATAATGTATGAAAAGTTGTCATTTGGTCAAAATTGATTACTACTTATCCCTATAAACAAATAAATTATTCATGTAAAAAATCCAAAAAAAGGTTTCTTCCTTTCATTTGTGAGATATTTAAAACACACTGCCAATAAAATATTGTTCAAACTTTCTTTTTTCATATGCCCTTGTTGAGAATTTACGAAATCCTCTTCACAACCAAACAACAGGAAGAAGAATTTGGAAGACCATACTCATGAAAAACAAATCTTGTAGTGGAACTTTTGGAAAATTTTGTCCATCGGGAAGTAAATGATGTAGCGGATGGTTTTGCAGCGGTGGCTTCATGTATAATTTGTTTGTAATTCTTTTTAAGTAATAAAATTTTAAATTGTATACAATAAAACCATTTACCTTTAAAATAGTCACAATTACTTAAAGCCATTTGAAGTGAAATTTGATAGTATGGATGTAGCATGAAGTTCGAAAAAATTTCATTTGAAGTTTGAGCTTGGTTAATGGAATAATTGCAATTACCCAACTTCATATCTAATAGTCAAGATTATTGTGACCATTTTGTATCACAAGTAAATGGTCTCATCTTATATTTTTTCCATAAAATTTTGAAATATTGTAATAAAAAAATTAATTTTTTTTAAAAATATCCAACTTTCCTTTTAAGGTCCCAATCCTTTCCATGGGCAAATTCGTCACTCACATTTTTTAGAGGCACATTCGAAATTTCACAAATATCCAAGGGTGTCTTTGTATCCTCGCAATCTCCGCGTGTCTTCCGGTTTATTTCATCGTCTATGGGTTAGCACGTCGCCTTGGAGATTTCAATACACACAAATTTTCAAATATTTTTCCGAAGGAAAAAACTCAGAAAATGGTAAATAATTACAAAATAATTGATTAATGCTTAATTACTATATTTGGGTACAGATCCCGATACCGCACCTTAAACGGCGCTGTACGGCCCTTTCCTGATTGGGACACGCTGTCGTCTTCTCCCAGCCAATTCACGTTCTCCATTTGGCTTAACCCTCACGAAAGTTTGACGAAATTTCACTGAAAATTTCGGCCTATTTGGGGTAAATAAATTCTAGTTTACAAACACACTTGGTAAGAAGTTGTCCGTGGGGGAATATGTTTGATAATAAGTAAAGCGTCACCTTAAAACTCATCAAAGGTTGGAGTTCTCTTCAAATAGATCATTGCGGAATTAGGATTTCAAGTTTTAAAAATAGTGTTTTTTGTAACAAATTATCTTGACCTTTTATTCATCTTAAAAATATGGATTTTCAAGATTTATATCAGTTTTTGAACTTCTAATTTCATAATCGATGTTGAAAATTGATTTTGGAGCCATAATGAAGATTTTCAATGCTCAATGTGCTTTTCGGACAAAGATTTGAAGTGATGCCTTGCTTTGTTTTCATAAAACCTAAGCTTTATAAAGACCACATACTTGAATGGAAGATGAGTACTCGTGATAACAATAAATAAATAATATATTATTTTGATTTTGGTCTTGGTCGCAAAAAAACTGGAGAACAAAAAAAAGAGTTGAGAACAATAGCTTCTTTTTTTTCCCCCGAAATGTCAACGGTGGAAATGAAGGTTGAGACATCATGTTGAGGCAACAGCCCTCTAACCACCAATGCCCAACCGTATCCCCTATGAAAATATTTTTTTAAGGGACAAAGAGTTTTTGGTTCAGATTTGATTCAAGAAAATAGAGTTACAAAATGGATGTGAACATATATGTTTTTGTATAAGGGGAGGATGATTCATTATGTTAAACCTTGAGAAAATAGATAATATAAATCCAAAATGTATGTACACAACTGATAAGCTATTCTTAATAATTTGTTGGTGCTCAAAGCGAGATGTCTCCCAATTCAATTTGAAAAGAAGTTTACATCTAAGGCGATCCTTAAGAGTTTTCTCGTTTGTTTTAAATGGTTTATCGTAATACTATTTCATTTTTTAAAAAAAGAGTTTTTAACGGAAGAAAACGATGCTTTAAATGGACTTTTTATAAGGTTTTTATGACCATATGGATCATAGTATATAAGTACTACTTGATAAATTCATAAATTAAGGAAAATAAAGGCTTAAATACCAATTGAAACATGTCATTGAGGAGAGGATAGGATAGTCATCGTTTGATAATGATAACAGTCCGCTATAGTGGCCACTAGCCAAAAAAACAAGAAAATGTAAATAACGGGAAAATGCGTCACTTGATAGAAATGAAATTTCTATAAAGCTATTCAATTTCATTCATGAATGCCACAATTTTGAAAATGAAACACATTTAATTTGATAATATTGGCTGTTTACACGTTTTCGTTGCAAATTAAAAAGGCTTCTACAATAACGGCCGTTATTATTGCCGAATGTGCCGTTATGTAAAAACAAGGCGTTTTACACCGCCAAACCTGAACCGAAATTTCGTCCGAAGTGCTGAGAATGCCGAAAAGCTACCGGGGGCAAAATAGTAATCGCACTCGCCTTTTTCTTAGGCACATGGCATCCACCAAACCATTTTACACGCGTCACTAGATGAAATGGAGGGGGGACCACGTCCCCCACCGGAACACGTGGTGCAATGGGGGAAGCTTGTCAGAATACAGCCAATAAGGAGAGGAAGCGACTTGTACCTCCCAAGCTCTGGTCCAATGAGGCTCCAAAAATCGCGTTCCACGTCATCTCCCCTATGGGTCCCACCCCCGCATGCCTCCAAATTCTACTTTCACCCATGTTTATCCCATTTCCAGTCCTCAATTTCAAACTTATTTAAAAACCATGGTTTTGAATAATTGCAATTGAATTATTTTTCATGGTTGCGTTCATCGTTTCATTGGTTGGTGGGTCGTTCACTTATAAATCTATGTTGGATTGTTGGATCAACAATTTCGAATAAGTATGAATCGGTGATTGAAAAATATTAAATATAAAATAAAAATAAATATGGACTGGATATTTAAGAGGACCTAAAAAAATATTAAATAACCTCAAAGAATATACACATATAAAAGGTGTTTCAGGGGGATTGGGCAAAAACATACCATTTCAGAACCGTTTCAATCTTAAGCGATTCACATTCGGATCAATAATCCAGATAAAAAATCATCAGGTGTTAAAATAATGGTTATCTTCTTGTCACGTAGACATGTGGTATTTGAAATTTTTTTTGAAGTGTGAGTGCAATTTTTACAAGAGTGCTTTCATTTTATTTTATATTTTGAAAATATCAATGGGTATAAGAGAACCGTGGATGTCACATCATGGTTCCCCCACCATGACCACTTATGTAAAGAATTAAGGGCCCATTGCTCGTAAGGCATGGCCTTTATGATATTTAGTGAAGTGACATTGTAAATCCATTGTGAAAAACATTTGTGGCATGTGAAACCAATGTGATGGCTTGAAAACCTATTCTCACCCATGACTATAGAGTTAGAAGTTTTAAAACAATTGTATATCGTGTGACTCTATGAAGACATAAAATGGATGGTTTAGAACATATAATTTAAGATAGATCATTTTTAGAGCTTGAAATCTATATTTCTCTCAGATAAATAATTGTTGAAGTCAAAATGATCCATCTGGTAGTTCGCCCATGACTCGTTTTAATTTTTCTGAAATCCGAGTTGCAATTTCATAAAGCCAAGGACCTGCAAAATACTTTCCCTCAAAATTCTTATTGCTATAATAAATGCCATATTGCAAAATGTGGCAATTTTATTGAGTTCCTTGCCTTTTGCTTTTCTACCTCAATGCTTATCTCTTAATTCCATGTTGGGACTATTCTTTCTAGAGTTAGCCCCAGTTGAGCTTATCTCACTGCATTTTTAGATATAATATGCTAAATTTGGTTGTCTGTCAAAATGGTGTCATGTTTAATGGATTCGTATTGATAGTGTCTTTCACACTTCCTGATTTGTAAAGAGAACTAAAGCCTCCCCATAAATTGGGGCAAAAAAGAAGGCTCTTTTGAGAAATATAGAGCCATTTTTGAGGTATGGAGGCAATGATTGTGGACTTTGTTGAGATACAATGGCTCTTGTGATTCTTTGTGAACAAGGCAAGGATTCTTTACGAAAAATAAAACTCTTTGTGAAGAAGGTAAGGATAGAATTTGTTCTTTTGGATATATGTTTGAGGGTATGGTTTTTCCCTTTGAGGGAAGGTGTTGAGTGGTGCACGTACCATCAATTTAGCTTTTCAGTGGTTTAAATGTTCTTGTCAAAGATTTGTTTTGGATAAGGTAAGGCTAAATTGGAGATATAAAGTACATAGGTGTTGTGTGGCCAAACACAAACTAGAAGCACCCACATGTGTATGTGCATGCACACACGTGCACATTGTGGACCTATTGCTATAGTAAAATACGGGAACCAGGGCTTGGACTTGAGTGGTTAGCTATTGACATTGAGCAGTGTTACATCTCAAGTTTGATTCTTAAAAGGTATGTCATATGAAAAATTTTTCTCTTGGGGTTATTTGAAAAGATTCACTAAGACCAATCTATGTGAAAATACTTCCACACTTAACCACATGAAGTTTGATTCTTAAAAGGCATGTCATATGAAAAAATTCTCTCTTGGGGTTATGTGAAAAGATTCACTAAGACCAATTTGTATGAAAATACTTCCACATTTAACCACATGAAGTTTGATTCTTAAAAGGCATGTCATATGAAAAATTCTC